AAATAATAAATATATATAAATGTATAATGTTATGAGATTTAAGCTATTTAGTATAAACATTTATGTTTTCTTGTTATAATTTATGTTCATTCTACAATGAAAGAGGCACAGTTTATATTTATTTCCTAATTTTTATGGTGGTTATAAGACTCATTAGTGAAAATAACAAATAAAATATAGTTTTTTCTTAAGAAACGTTTTGTAACTATCTGGACATTATAAAGATTTCACATGTGAAATTTCAAAATTTTCTGATGCAAAAAAGTATTTTTAATCTTAAAATGAATATTATTTTGCATAAATGATAAGAAACATGTGAAAAGAAAAAAAGCATGAGAAAAACATTGCTTTACAAACCTTAAGACTTGATAAAAAATTTTGATATTTTGCATATGAATGAATTGTAATGTTTACTGATAATCTAGCAAATTTTGTTAACAACCACTTACTAATTTAAAAGTTATAGCATGAAAACTATAGCAAGCACAAAATTATTATGAGGTTGGTCCCAGGTACTAAGCCCATGCTGAAATAGTTAATGGACAAGTACCATAAATTAACAACCATACAGCAATATTTATCACACATATGAACAGAACCAGATACAACACAAACCACTACCAAATGTTCATCTATAATAATGCTTCCAAATTCTTGACAACTACTACACCACCTAATTTCTACCAAAATACAAAAAAGCTAGATACCAAAAACATGTTAACAAATGCTAATTACATGTGAAACCTCATCAAACAAATAGAAATCTTAGCTTTAGACTATATAACAAATAAAAATAGGTGAATATAATGTTTGGATCAATTTCAACTTCAACCAAGTAACTGATATACTTCGTGAGACATCTGATGTGTATTTTGGATGATTAAAAAAGTACATCCACATATAAGAACAATTAATCCTTTTAACATAAAACATATAAGGCTACGAATTAAAAGTACAAGATTTAAATAGTTTACAACTTAAATACTTGAGGAAATTAGGATTTCATTTGTTTGGTTAATTTACAAAACAAGATAATCTCCAAATACAGTAAACAATCAATGGTGATGAAATCAACTTCAATTTCATACTGGTACAGTGGTTGTAGTCTCACCCTCTGTTCCCTAATTTTTGGATGATATCTTCAACATTTGAACATACACATTAATAATAAATGCTACTATACTTAATAGAAAGTCTAATTAGTCCATTTAAATAACATTTGAAAACATGTTTTAGATTAGATTTAAATAAAATACTTAAACAAATTCTCTATCTTCACCTCTCGAAATCCCGATATGTGACATCACTCAAATTTTCTATTAAAGTATCCAGTCACTTGAATTATATTACTTATGACTCTCAAAAATTGTACATACATATTTCAATCAGGCTTATGAGAATGTGTATTTTCCCATTTAAAAAAAACAACAAAATCTGCAGAAGATTATGTAAAGTCCTTCTGGGTGACCAATAATATTTTCACTTGTCAAATAGGAAAGAAAAAATGATAATAATAATAATAATACAACCCCTCATAATTAAATACTGAACTTATATGTAGTAATATTACTACATCTGAGCAATTATTGCACATAAGATGTTCAAATAATTTAAAATATCTAGTATAAAACACCTAAAAATAGCAGTTGATTTCCCATATAGAAGAAAGGCCCCCCTTCCCCCTTTTCTTTCTCTAAATAAAAATAAGATGCATCAAAATGGTCATAACTTAGTTAAATAATAGGTTTCCATTCCAATGTAATATTACAATTTAAGGCCCCATTAATGTAACTGAATAAAAAAAAACATTCAACAGATACCAAAACTTTGCAGATAGTTTTATGGAAAAGAAAAAGATTAATTCAATTGATTAATGAATATTATAAACTTTCAACATTCGCATACACTTTACCATGCATTGAACTTTCCATATTTCCCAATTCATAAGCTGAAAAAAATCAATAGTGTTCATAATCATCCTACCATAGAATTACATATTTAATTATTTATAATGATTTACTTGTTTCTTGAGTAACTCCAGTAGAATAAAAGCATAAATAGAAGGCAAAGCAGCAAATTCCTGAAGAAACTTGTTAGAGATAAGTATATTTACTTGATACTAAACATTTTGCAGTGTTAAAACAAATCATATATATCACCTTGGATTTGAGTACTTATTGCTATTAAACCATATATTGTATTATGGCAAAACTTGCAAACTTGTTACATCTAACAAAAACAGACAAAATGCCAACTTGCTTTTACCTGATAAAGTACTACAATAACAGTAATGAGAATGAACAGACCAAAATTTTGGAATTATCAATATATAATTTTGGAATAATAAGAAGTATTATTTTCTTAAACAAAAGAAAATGTTAAAAATAAACACCACTCATAACCCACCCTGTGAAGAAGTTCTTGCAGTTATTGTATCACTGGGCTCACTGTTACCATAACGACTATGAGCAACAACATACACATGATAAAGCTGTTCCTTCTGAAGATTAGTGAGAGTGTAACTTGTCTGGGAAGACTCTGATATAGTGATTTCATTCCAGTATCCATTTTCTAGTCTGTAGTGAAGTGAAAACCCTATAAAGAAGTAGAGAAAACACAAATTAAAGCACAAACTTTAGAGATTTTGATTATCCAAGTGTCTATCAATAAAGATACTATAAAAAGAGTCTAATACTTAAAATAAATAACTCAAAGATCATATGCATTCACACAAACAAATTCAAATTCATTGTACATTAAACACAGACACTATTGTCATATGCAAGTCGTATAATGGACACATTTGGATTAAAAATACTCTAGAATTCATTTTTAATAATCTGATTTAACTTTAATATTCTTGAAAAAAATAAGTTAAATCCTAGATAAGAGAAGGAAGGAAGTGAGCTCCTTCACACATACACACACACATGAAAAAATCTGATTAACTCTTTTAGCATGGGTTCGGTCCCTGGGACTAAACTCATAACCACTTTGTGCTTGTTATAGTTTTCATGCTATAACTAGTACGAGACTGTTAACAAAATTTGCCAGATTATCAGTAAACATTACAATGCTTTCATACGCAAAATATCAAATTTTTTTTATTAACTCTTAAGGTTTGTAAAGCAATGTTTTTCTCATGCTTTTTTTCTTTTCGTATGTTGCCTATCTAACATTAAAAACACTTTCATGCATCAGAAAATTTTCAAATTTCACATGCAAAAATCTTTATAATGTCCAGATAGTTATCAAATATTTCTTAAGAAAAAAACTTTATATTTCATCTGTTATTTTCATTAATAAATCTATGTACAGGTTTGGTCGATTTGTCCAATCTCGTAACCACCATATAAAATTACGAAATAAATATAAATTATGCCTTTTTCATTCTAGAATGACTATAAATTATAACACAAAAACATAAATGTTTAGAATAGATAGCTTAAATCTCATAACATTATACATTTATTATTTTTATTATATTGAACTTTCAGCCATGCCTGGCTAACAATACACAAGTTAAATGGCACGGCACATGTGCTCTCATGTTACCGTATCCAATTAAATAAAACTGATCTTTGGTCTTTACAAAGTAACCTGTCAAGGCTGTGTTTTAGTAAACTAGTATTTTGTAAAATACAGTCACATTTCAATTATTATACATTATATATGTATACAGATTATTGCTATTTAGAAACAAGTTCTTAAACTTATTTTCTTAAAACAAAGAACAGTAAATACAGAAGTAAAGCAAACAATTATCTCTTCTAGTTACGACCCTTGTACTCGGTTGCTGATTTGACGTAGGTTGCTAAGCCTTTGAAAATGTTGCATGTGGAGGATATGAAACAAAATATATTTTTTTTTAGGTTTTATATATATATATATATATATATA